TGATCACAGTGCAATCTGTGGCTAATTTCCTCCATATCCCTGTCCAATCAGGCTGGTGTCGAGTTTCTGTGCGACCAATTCGAACACCAATCACTTGTTCGAAGAGGACTGATTCTCTGCAAGCTTCATCCCAGGCATTAGATAGCCACAGTCCTTCTCAAGGTTTACTTCTATCCTGGAGTGTCTATCTAATGGATACGCAGACTTCCGGTTCAGCTGCATGCATTGGAACATCAAATAAAAACACAATTTCACACTCGCTTCCTTCAATGGAGGAGAAGCAGCGTTATTTGCCTTACAATGAACATCCGTCTCCTAATTCAGAGGTTGGATTCTGCATAAAAAAACATGAGATTTTATGGAAAATATAAAAATTAACTTCTATTAAACTCGTATAAAATTATTTTTATATTTTCTACACTTAATTTTATGAAAGTATTTTTACACACTTATTAGTCGTCACCACGACCCTTTTTTGGGGCAATCTGTTCTCTATGTGCTTTACCTATTTTTATTCAAGATTATGTAATATTGCTCTCATTCAAAAACACTTGTTAAGTTTTATAATTTTTTTTCTGCCTGCTCTTATTGATTTATGCATTTTGGCCTAAGTGCTGCTATTTTTTATTGGTGTCTCTTATTAAAGGTGTTTGCATCAGATATTATAAAGTGAAGCTAGCAACAGAGGAGATTTATTCCCTCATGACTTTTGATGCTGAATCTCCCATACAATTTTCTTACAAATTTACATCGCACTTCTCAGGCTATTTTAAAAATGGTAAAAAAGATATTTTTGAAGTTAAATAATTTGTGTCTCAGTTTATCACTTGGTATGAATTTTTTCATTAAAATCCTTCAAGATGCATAACCTCTACGTCCACCCAAGTTTTATATAAATATTGACTCGCCATTAGTCTAATTAATGCCTTCAGCTTTATCACTATTTCGCAAGCGAATATCGTCATTGAGTCACTGGAGGAACATTACTTCCTATGCAAAATAATCCAAGCCACTATCAATTCACTTATTTATTTATATTATTGGTAAAAGTGTGGGCTTCCTGTTTAATCTAGTTACTTATTTCAAAATGTCCTAAGTAGTTTGTTTTACATTTTAATACACAATATACTAGCATATCTTCGCACAACACTTTTCTTCATAGGACAGAGATGCATTACAATTCCTATAAATTTATATTGTTATTTTCTCACCATTGATGATATTTTTACTAAGCGTAAGGTTTTCTATGATTCTGGATTGATTTCAATATTTATTATGTTTTATATCTTTGTTAACTGCTTCAGAATGATTTGGTGGTCTATCTTTAATTAATCTTGAAGTCACCTTTACCTATCACATTTTTACCTAAATACATCTTGTAATGCTAAAAATATTCTATTTATGCATTTACTAGATTACTTGATTCCGGATTCTCCAAACAATCCGCTATCTTTCTTTTAAAACTAGATCTCATCCACAAACGATCGTCTTGTTCCTCGATCCAGCTTACTTGAAGTTTCTAAATCTTCTGATTATAACTCAACCGAAGTACCTTATAGTCTAAAATGCGCTTCAAATCTATGCCATACTGGCGAAGTTAGTGGCAGTGATACAATAGATAATCAATTGAGCCCCGTTGGTGATACGATCTCGACACCAAGTTCACAGGACGCCCGGATAGCTGGCCCGGCTACCGCTTTGGCCAACTCCGATATCTATACTGTGGTGGTGCCAAAGCCTGGAAGTAGTCTTGGACTTAGCATTATAGCAGCCCGAGTAAGATTTCTTTGTTGCCTCCAGATATCTGACTAAATATCTATCCTACAAATTAATGTATAATGACAGTCCAATTTTATTTTTCAAAAAAAGTTTGCTAAATTGTGACTGATGATAGATCGTTTCCTTTTATGCTCTGTTCTATACTTACTTTTATGTACAACTATAGAAAAGCAATGAGATGTATTCACCCTATTTCGTCTAAGGTGATGAAGGACTGGTAGTAGAATTTTCCCACA